AATACCCTACTTGTAGTACCTTTGCACCATATTGCGAATGTCACCACAACGATGCCGAGTGGGTGAAACTCGTTGCCTAACAAGGAATGGCTACCAGGTCGGCATGGCCATTCGAAGAGAGATATACACGCCAGATGCGCCTTCTGAACGCTGATCCAAATCCAGCCTCCAAATCTGCTGAACGATTTTCTGAACGGAGTTATGAAGAAAACAGCCCAACAGTAGTGGTCGGAGCTCACAGGCAAAACTTCGTAGAACAGGTCTCATATCGTATAACCGTTTTTGCGTTCTACAAGAGTTCAGCTAAAAGGCTGCCGTTCAGTTGTATTCCTAGAGATTTGGAAAAGTAAGCGCGATAAGGGACCGATCCCGCGATGTTTTGACTGTGACACAACTTATTCGCTCTTTTTGCTTCATAAGTCCTTTCAGAGAATCGTTTCAGCAAGTTTTGAAGGTAGATTTGAGCTCAGCTCTCGAAAGCAAATCTAGGCCTATGAATCTATTCATGAACGGACACGACGACCTGGCAGCCTTTCCTTGTAAGTCGGGACTCGAGCTAGGACATGTATTCCACGACTGAGTTCACCGTAAGCGTCAACTAATCACAATAGGCGTGTGAGCGGTGACAAATACCTCGTGGGAACAAGTCAACAAGTCGAAGCTGAAACATAGCTTCGGGTGGCTAGTCCTCCGTTCGCATTAGCACACTTGCACAATAACATAGATTCGCGGCTCGAGTCTCCCGCTGAGGCACGATACCAATTTCACCTGTAACTCTACATCATCGTGATAATACTGCCACCGCGACTTGGTGTTAAAAACAGGTAGGTAACAAGGACTTTCACCAAGCTATGTTTTTGTTTACACTCCAAAAGAACAAGGACCGCTGGATGAAAAACTATAGTCCAAGATTGATGTCGGGAATATACGACGGTTATTCGTACTGAAGGGCTATGCAAATTGAACATTTGTTATGCTCATCCCGCTGCTTTTAAATCGGACGCTCGGATTTTGTTTTCGTTCATCGTGTCGCCGACTCATTCCGAATTCGCTGCATAAAATCGGATCGACTACTACATTTACCATGCTATTTGATTGCCCAGTTGGCCTTCACAATTTACTATGAACGGAGACCATGTCCAAAACAGAGCTACCCTTATGATGTCCCCCTATGTCCACGTCCAAAACAGAGAATGAACTCTTACAAGACTAATTTGGCTCTCAACTGATGTCCCCTTATGGTAAAAGTCTTTTGACCACGTCTTATTCGATCATTGACCGTACAAAAACCATCATCGAAATCATCAAAAACCTGTATAAGAAGGGGTTAGAAGTTTTTTTAACAAGCGGACTACGAAAACCTACAAAAACGTCTGTTGCTTCACCTGTTATAGCAGCGGGGATAGATAGAAGACAAGTTATACCAGTTTGCGTGTGATAGTATAGAATTAGCAGTTCAGATTACAATAAAAATAATTGTCACCAAAATTTTAAGATTGATTTGTGAACAGCCATGGGACCACTCAAGGGATGGATGGAGGTGGTGCAGCGAAGAAAATTAGTTCTTTACCTCGTGCAGGCTGCGTGGGTCAGATCCCAGTCTGAGTCTTGTTTAAGACCACTAAGCTTTTCAAGGGTCTAGTTATGTAGTTGGTGGCAGATCTGTCCCTGAGAATAAAACCACATTATTCTTGCCTTGGTCTTCTCCAGGTAACACCGGCAAATGCTGTTGGATGTTCTGCATAACAGATGTCGAGCGTGAACTCGTTGATGCCCAGGAAACTCACCCACATATTCAAGCATTCCATAGATAGACGTGCTACCTTTGAACACCTTTGCGAAGTTGGAAAATCTTGTAAGTCCATTGTAGCTCGCACAGAATTATTGTGCAGGAGCCATAGCACTTCCAAAAAACAAACGCGCCATCCTTTCGCCTGAGTCACCACACTTAGCTAGTGATCCTTCAAATGCAAGCACGATTCTAAATAGAAAGAAAATATGAGACGGATCCTACTGATTCACTACGACTGTTTTTTTGCTCCTGCCGTACATATATTCTCTATTCTCTGCCGTAATTCTATCAATGCTTCGCTGTTGTATTCAAGTATATTATATATTATTATTTGTAATTTTCAATGAGATTACCCTCACAAAGGATCAGTTAGAATTTTGATTGTCTTCTTTTAGCGTAGCACATCCTACAGCCAAAGCATTGAAGTTAATTTCTCGGTTTCGAAAGTTTTTAGCGTGAAAGAAGCACTCCATGTTAAAACTGCGAACATTTTTTTAAAATAGGAATAAATTCGGCCGACACGAACACGTCGTCGGAACAGCAAGCCGATTGCCTTCCCTAGTCTGGTCCTATTAGCTCTCCAGCCTTGTGGTATGTTACTCTGATCAAAGAATCCAGAATCCATATTACCGCATGCGCAAATCGCAAATTTTCGGGTCCGTAGCCTCACGTTTTCTCATGGCAGTACCAAGACTTGTAAGCGTCACATTCCGCAGAGTGTTTCCCTATCGATGGTTTTGCTTGAATTCTTAGGTTTTACTTATCTGGTGTTCAGGCAAATCGAAAGTAAACAACGCCTATTAGCAGGTCGATGGCTCGGCTCAAATGTTATTTCTGAATAGAAGTATGAAGTCATTCAGCGCAAGATAAAATCTAGATAAAAATTCAAAAACCGCTGACTCCTGCAAAACTTTTTAGCAGCAAAAAAGTAGCGGTTGACCGTGTTCTGCGCTTATCAGCACTGTAGTTAATTGCAGTCAGTAGGTAAGTCGGTCTGAGACAAAGAACCTCTTCAACTTGACCGCTGATAAGATGCAGCCGCCGCCGCTGCTGTTCAAACAACAGCTACAGAACGTTTTCAGTGAAACTCATTACTTGACGTGAAGAGCTTTGATTTTTGTTCCCATTATTTTTACTGAGATTTTTGGTCCATGAGCTCTGCAAATCTTTTGAACAGAAGAATTCTAAGCTCGTGTTGACTGATAGAATGCAACACAGGGTGTGCCAAAATTACAGTAACCGCGAACAAACCAACTTTTCCCCGACCCTCTTCACCTTCATCTTTCCTTTTGGGCCGTGTGATACTATGGAATCCTTCTTCCGCATTAACAAATGTTTCAGAATTTTTCAAATTACTGATAACAACACATCACACTATCGTCAATTCTGAAAATAAAACCACAAAGGGCCACACTTCATCTAGCGACAGTTCAACTAACAAGAAGCTGTTATAGGTAAAGTCAGACGCTATTCAAGAAAGCCCAAAAGCTCTAAAAGGTTAGAAAACACCTGAGACGGAAAATGAGGTCCAAAGTTTACAGTTACCACCAGGGCAAAGATCAGATGCCAAAACTCATTCTCCTTCTTGCAACATTCGTACCGCAATTGAAATTGATGTAAAAGGCCACTTAGACAACTTTAAGCTATTATATAATGTCTGTCGTGGGTAACATGCCGTTCGACTGCATTACTTTGGAAGGATCAGTGAGACAAGATGCGCAGTCATGCTACCGAGGAATCCCCCACTGAACTTACCCAGCATGGATTTCTTCCAGGGTAAATCTAGAAGGTAAGAAGCGAACTAAAATCACAAACAAAACAACGAACTGGGCACAACAAAAAACGTGGAATAAGTTTGCAAGGTGTCTCGCCGTCCCACCGGCGAGTCACCTTGCAAGCCTTCCTTCTTCATCTGAAGGCCTTTAGTGATATAATACCTTGGTTACCGTGGTTTGGGCCCACCCTTTAGAACACGCAGACACTCCAATTAGTGCAATGACCAATTACGCCGTAGGAACTTTGGAAATTTCATTTCTCAGAAGTCACCAGTGTTGACATTCATTTCATACATTGACATATGACACATTCGATCAACCTAACTGGGCCATTCTACTTCAGCTTTCTACTTTAGACGACCTCTGACAGGTGGGAAAACCGCAAATCCATTTCCCAACAACAACTGGGCATTTAAATTTGCGTTTCGGTCCGAAAAATGTGCCAAACAACGAGTGTATGTTCGGTTTTCTTGGAACCTAGCATCCCCGCGCGATATTGTCTTGCTTCTTCTGTGCATACTGGTTGTTATGGTGGAACACGTTTATTGGTCAACGTTTCGACAATTCGTCGTCTTCAGGACCTGAAATTTGGTTCGAAGTCCTAGCTCTGTAGCTAACCCGGTGAAGCGCCTAATCTGCTAAGTTCCCAGAACAAAAAAATGCCAAGTTTGTGTAATTGTATATTCTGTGGAGTCTGAAGGTGATTAATAGGATAGATGATGAGCAAATTCGAGGCCTGATGACTAACCGTTGACGACTGCGTGGTCCGCTGACAGACCACACTTTCACTCGGAGGAGACTCGTTTCGCCTTAATTTATTTAGCTTTTTTTCGGGTTTCCAAAGAAGGCCCGTGTAACATCAGCCGGTTCAAGTAAACATTACTAACAATGAAATCTTTGAAGGGGATAACTTACCTAATGAAAAAAATGAAAAAAAAAAACTACCATTGCAATCTTACGGCGGTCGTCAGTGTGCTAAGATGGTCCGTGCAGGATTTTCGAATGAGGAACTGAACACCGAAATGGACAGAACTTAGGACAGGAAAGGGTTGCAAATGTAAAGAAGCCACTGTCCGGATGAAACGTTCTGCGCAGCGAGCCACAACAGAAAAAAAACGCTGTTCCATTTGGGGGTCATTCATGCATAACGCGAACGCATTCAGCGAGAATCGAAGCGTGAACGTTTATAAAATTCCAAGAATGACCATATGCGCGTCAATGCACTGATGGCGATTCAGAGCCGTCGCTGTAAACACTCGTAAACACACATTCGCTTTCGAATTTCAAAAAGCTACAAACATTTGCTAATTTTTCAGAAGATTGATAGACGATCGTTGCGGGAAAGGCGAAGGGGAGGCGAGCGACGGAGAGGAGGCCAGGCAGTAAAAAACAATGTATTATAGAAGAAAAGAGGAACATGGAGCAAGAAAATTGTGCTAAAATGAAGGATCTACCTCATTATGGGCAAACATGAGAGAATGATTGAGAAAAATCCGAGTAAACTCGACAATAGGGCATCTGAATGTCTTAAAAACCAGTGTTTCCCTTTTCGGTGGAACAGAACAAGTTTATGGCAGCTATATAAGCCTTCAATGGTAACACTCTGCACTGCTGCTGCTGCTGTGTCCAAGAACGAAATGGAAAAATAATAAAAGCAAATACAAACCACAAAAAATTACATAAAAAAAGACATACCGTGATGTGGCAGAGTGGCAGCTGTAACGTCATTATTCCGGTGAATAATGGTTTTGAGCTTACTGAAATGTAAAAATTTATTTTGTGGCTCAGTGACCAATACATACATTGACGGACCACGACATGGTAAAACAAAGAGCGGCATGAAAACTTTAACGAATTCAGAATTGTCATGGCACTCATGTAGTTAGGGGCATTGAAGTGGGTGAGCTACTTACAAGAATTTAAGACGAAGCTTAGAGATGGAACAGGGATCATGAGCGTGGGGCTGAGCGACTGGGTTCTCAGTTGCGTTCTCCCCTCACTGGACGTGGCTTCTGTAGAAGGTCACCCACTAGCGTTCAAATGTCCCCCTTGTTTGAGTGTCCCCTGAAGGCCATGAGCGCCTCGATGACATTCGGAAAGAAACATTTTCTGAAGGAAAATACACAAGTGAAAATTGGAAGCGGCTGAGCTAAACAAATTCCGGTGGAAAGACGGTGCAGTGAGCAGAGGCGAAGCTTGTAAGTAGCTGTAGATAGAAGCACACACGCTCAGTCTTACCCTTTCGCCAAAACGGACGCTGAATGAGACCGAACTTATCTTCAGGGGTGGTAAACAATGCGACGAGGGTTGGCCCCGCCAGATACAGTCCTAAGTCCGCATTCAAACCTCTGCACAATTTCGAGTGAAAGATGAGTGCACTGCGCGTCATTGAAGGAACTATCTGCGCGTAATGTATGTAGAACTTTGCAGGGAAATAAAAGACGAAAAATTCAAAATTGAAGCGGAGCGGGTAAGACTGTTGCGTCATTTCGAATGGGAAGGAATGAATCATTGAGTGTAAGACCACATATTAAGAACAAACGAAACCGCCAGATGGTTGGCTCCTTTATTGCCGGCAATTGAGAGTGAGAAAAAAGCAGGACGAGTCCAAGCATATGGCGGTTCTGCTAAATGCTTCAAGACTAACGAGAATGTTGAAAAAGGTTTGTGAAACAAATGAGCTACTGTGCTGAAACACTATGGAGCGCTTTACATACGCCCACTTGATAGAGTAGAGAACTTATGGGCACACTCCGCGTTCAATGACTGTAACAATCCTTTCGTTGGGAAGTACAGAGCTAATCATGATCGATACAGGTCTGCTGTTTTTAGAGCTCGAAAGCGCGCGACAAGGGTGCTGGGGTCTTGCCGGTGGTCCTCATTACTGATCCTGACTGGCTTTCGTATGGCTGGCTATGCAACGGCCGTACATATTATATCTGCGCCCTCTTGTACAACGTGCTCTCTGCATCTTTCTTTCCTCCGAGTGAGGTCTCTCGGTCTACCACGGTTGAGTTCGCAAAAAAGGGTTATAATTATAGTCCTTCGATAGTTTAGTTTGGTTTTTTGGCTGTCGATTCATCGCGTTTTAGGCTCTCATTACTGACCGAATTAACCTCATATTTTGATCGTGGACTGGGACTTCAACCATTCTCCGAAACGCTGCCATATATTCTCCTTTGAAGCGAATTCTCTCTGTATGTGAACTCGTAGGGGCGGAAGTGGTGTAGTGGCAAGTGGCACGCTTACCACGCGAGCGGTCCGGGGATCAAATCCTGGGTCGTGAGTCGCCCGGGCCAACCAAGCCTTCCATCCCTCCGGGGTCGGTTAATTGGTACCAGACTTGTCTGGGAGGATAAAAACACTGACTTGTACATCGGCTGGCCCCCGCAAGTCATTGTATAGGCCACATCGCATTCAAACGCCACTACGAATGTACAAATGGAAGTAGAATGCGTGCCGCATCCCAAAAAGGGATTGATCAACGGCAAATGCTTTATCCTTTATCCTTTATATAAACTCGTATTCACATAGTGAAATGATTCAAATCCAAGTAATATATCTTCAAAGTAGGGGCATACGTTCGAATTAATAGGGAACGCATAAGTCACTTCGAAGAGATAGAAACCCTAGGGATCACGTCGAGATTCGAACTGAAAACTCTACTAGTGGTGGTTGCGCGCCATTCGACACTTCTGACGACATCTCATGAAAGAGAAAAAAATGAATAAAAAAGTAGAGCAAGAAAGAAAAGTACAAAGGTCTCACTGTGGTGAATAGCTGATGCATCTCCGAGCTCATCCACGGAGGAAAAAAAGCGGCAAGGAATTTCTGGCCGATTAGCGAGCGCGATAACGAGGACTTTCTATCAATTATTTTGATCAGCGACGCTGCAGCAGTAGCGACAGCGACGGCAACTGATAGCCAGCCAAGTGATAGTATGAATTTAAGATGACGCATCATGAGGCTCTGAACCATTGGGGTCTTACACGAGAACGAGTACTGGTTGCCTGATACTTTCCATTTGCTTTGCTAGAAGGCAGTTCAAAGCACGGTTATGCTAAAGTACTGCAAAGAGGAAAATTATTCAAGCTCTTGCCATGAAGGAGAAGCCGAGTCAAGTAGAGCGCTATAATCTTGGGAACGTTTAGACAGAACTGTAAAGATGGATGTCGCTTCATGAAAATGAGCTGAAGAAATTTCATTCCATTCGATCTTCTCGATTTTTTTCCCCAGCACACACTTTTGCCCTCTTGTCAGACTTGACGTCAGTTTAAACACTGACAAAGAAAAAGGTCGAAAGCAAAAGACCGGCAGTCAGGAGGCCAGCTCCACAAGCCGAAAGTTAATGCTTAACACGTTGGCGACGATGACGGTAACCGACAGATGATGGTGGCCGACAGATTGTAAATAAGGAAACCCAAATGTAACCAGCGACTTGATAATATCAATAACCCTTCAGTCCTAATTTACACAACTCAGCTGAGGACCGTTCCCTCTCTAATGGGATAAACTCTTTTTTCATATTAAAACGTTGGAGAACTCGCGCATATTTTACTTTTTGCTACCGCGTGGGACTTCAATGAAATTTTACAGGATTGTTATCAAGGAAATTGAAAACGAATACCTACTGTATGCTGAAAGAACAGAAACCTTTCTGAAATGAAATGGAAACAAAATTAAAAAAAAACTTTGCATATTTTCCCGAACTGTGGACTGGAAGGTCCTACGCGGTCAACCAGGCTGCAGCCCATGGGCTGTTGACCGCGTAGGACCGTATGGGCTGCATGGGCTCCAATTCGTTAATTATCAGCTGCAGAAATGTGCCGCAGTGAGAATAGAATTACAAGAACACAATCACTACTATGAAAGTAGAAATGCATTGAAAGTCAGACCGACATCTTATCATGAAGTTCATCGCAGAAGATTCCTTTTTGTAGCCTTTTGGAGTTAGATCTTCTGATGAATCAATAGTAAAATTCACTTGTGACTAAAAGACAACAGCCCAAGTTTAGCCCGCCAGTAATCCGATTTTTAAGCATTTCTTTCATCGTCGTTTAAATGAATTTCCTAGACCTTATTTAATTATAAAACAAGATATGTGACTGAAAGACAAAGGTCTTCGTCAGGTTACGAAAAAGCTTTCGTATCATTCCTGAACGCGAAATTCGTAAGAAAATTCTAAAATGCGATTAGATTATCTTTCGCCATCAGAGCCCATGCTCAGTAACTAAATAGCGAGATTGTGTAAAATCCTCCGGCCTTCTACCATCCGTACCGCATCCCTTCCTACCAGGTTAGCTTGAAATAATCAATGAAATTTCATCAGACAACTCAGTAGTAGCAACTCCTTTTTCTAATATGTCTGGACATTCTAGTCATAGACGTTTCGTATATTATCGAGATTCCGAAGAATAACAGAGCGAACTTTGCCCTGTACTTACTGACGCTTTATATGCAGAAAACGACGCAAAACGGCGCGTAACAAAAATGCGCTCGTCGTCAAAAGCCGAGAACAACTTACGGTGCATTCTCGCTTTGAAAAAAATTTCCTCTGAGCTGGACAAGGAACTTGTTCAGCTCTTCATTCAAGATTAGAAGAACTGCTGGAATACAAGGAAATTCGTGGCACCTTGTCAGGTCTCCATGTCAGATAAGGGAAATAGTGGAGACCGATCTCGAAGGTGTTGCGCGCGTATAGTCATCCCTCAACAAGCAATCACAGGTAACATCACAGTAGCTGAATGCACCTCATTTAACTTCTGTGCAGTTGACAGCCCGTTTTCAATTCTTAAATTAACTTGACGCATATACCCATTGATGGTTCTTCATTTTGTGCAGGACCACACTAGGGACAATATAGGCTGAAGAACGCTACGTTCATAGCTTACATCTATTCCACCCCTTCCAATTATGTGGTGGCATAAAGCTTTGGTGGCAGTGTGTTATGTCCTTCCTTTAACAATTCATTTTTCACACGCCATCAACGAAATATTAGCTGAAAAGACTCTACTATAGTTATGCAATGTTATTGGGTAATCGTTATGATAAATGTAAGAGGCAGTCGGTCAGTCAGTTAGATTGCGAAAAAACGAACGATCAACCAGTTCAGCTACAATACAACAATTAACGACCCTCGCGCGACAATGTCAACCAACGGTGGCTGACGGGCTTTAAATGAGGATTAAGTGAGAGATGAACGTTTTCTGGAACGTTTTTTCTTATGAAAGGAAATGGTTTTTCTCATTTTGATGTATTCGTGATAAAACCCTGAGCCACCACTCGTAGGCAAGCTTTTTCTCGATGAAAACAGGATTGCGCCATGTCGATGCACTTTGGCGCCAACTCGGCACACATGCCAAAGTTAAGGGTCATAATCGTAACCACAGCAATCAATAATCTCCATAGGAGAAGGTTCGGCCAAAATTGTTTATTTTTCCAAATGCACCTTATTTCAAAAACAGGGTATCGAAGGAGAATGTCAGCCTCGTGGATGACACTTCGCAATCGCCTCACCGTTCTGGTCCAAACGGGCACTTTCCGAAAAAAAAGCGCGCGGTCGCGAAGGGGCTAAGAGAAATCCAGCTAAAGGAAGGTGTTTGGATAACCTTTCTGTGGTCATGAAGGAGATGCAAATGAGCCTGGCCGACCAATATCAGAATTCAGCATAAACTGGCAGTAATTTTTTCCCACTGTTCAGTTTGAAAGTTCCATAGAAGAGAACGTAATAAAATAACAAAGAGAATCAATCAAGCAATTTCCTCCCATCGAAGACAAGTGCTACAGTACGCCACGCAGAGGACTGGTGTAAGGTACGTGGAGTGAATGTTATCACTTGAACTCTTTCAAAGGCTCAGCAAAACATAATATCAAATTTTTAGTGAGAGGGCAATCCACTACATGGTCGAACGTAACGTTCAAACGGTGGAAATTTATTGAACGATATAGCTCTTGAGTACAGGATAACACACAGGGATCTTGTAAGATATCGCCACATCACTGTCCACCGCGGTACACATTATCCCCGCTATCGGCTATCGGCCCTAATTCTATCGGTGTTGTGAAGAAACCACTTGCTGCACACGTGCTCGAAGGTCAACGAAAGAGACAGCCGATAAAGCGATAAGCTTTCCTGTGGAATTTCGACATACTCGACAACATTGCAGCTTTTTGACCTCTACTGGGGCACAACGACAGGCCCAGTCTACAAACGATAGGAATCATTGAACGGAGTACATCGCCTTAGCGGCTCACCTCGCATAAATTACAGGAAAGTTTTCGAGGCAGAGGGAATGAACGATGAAAACGAAGGGGACGCTGGAAGTCTAAGGTGGTGGTAAGATCCATGTAGGATACTGTGGGTGCGAGAGCGTGGTCCGATATCGCCTTTACTTGTTTTCCGCTTGTCATGATTCCGTCACTGCCGCCATGACAGGGCAACTTTAGGCCAGTGTAAGACTTGCTGCGAATTTAGCGATTTGCTAGTAGTGACTCGAGCGATTCGGTAGCAGCGAATCGCGTTCGCACTCGCACGCTTTTGCCGACTGCTACCTTAGTAACGAAATGCTGTGGTAGTCGCAGTCGTTAGTAGCGAATCACTCGATTCGCAAAGTATGAAACCGGTCTATGGGTGAATATAGACTGTGCGCGTCTCAATCGTCTGCGATTTTTCGATGGCACCGATTCAATCACGAAACTCTCTAGATCGTCGCGCTGAGATGTTGCATCATCTAGAACAAGACAAAATATGCTGCCTTGTCATCAGACCCCCTCCCAACGAAAGTTTAAACGTCTCCAGGCAACTATTCCATCCTTGAAAAAACAGATTGAAGTCGTCAATAAGCAAATGATTCTCGGAAGCAAGTTGAACATGAAAAGGCTACTGAAGAGTCAGAAAGACACTGCGAGAGATTGCCCTCATTCTGTTTGACACGCAATCGAGGATATCACCGCATCACATTTTGTTCAGACCTCATTCATTCAATCACGCTGTCTGCGCTCAATAATAAACGACATCCTGACTTCAACCTACTGAGCTCCGCAGTCGTGAGTGTATTGTGACATTTTTCAAACATTTCCTGATCGCTAGTCGTTTACCCTTTGAAAATTCCATGATTATCGATGGATACACTTTTTCGGATCCGTTAATGT